TAGATGGTGAAGAGACTGAGATTGATAAGAGCTTTAGATTTCTTGGCTCCACAATCAACACTCTTGGCACCAGCAGTCAGGAAATTAAAAGACATATTGCACTGGGAAACTCTGCTGGGAAACTCTCCAAAGTACTGAAGAGCAACGATGTCAGTCTGCAGACTAAGAGGTGCCTGATACAGGCCATGGTCTTTGCAATCACTTGCTAGCATCAGAGAGCTGGACAATGACTAGGGATGATAGAAGGAGAATCGATGCCTTTGATACTGCTGTGATACTGGAGAAGACTATTGAATGGACTGCTAAGTAAATCAACAGGTTCGTATTAGAGAGGGTGGCTGCTCCTTGGAGGCAAGAATTCTAAAACTTCGTGTGACATACTTTGGACATGATGCAAGGAGGGATCAGTCCTTAGAGAGGGACGTCATATTTGGGAGGGTGGAGGGACAGCGCAGGAGTGGAAGACCCTCAATGAGATGGACTGATTCAGTGACTAGGGTAATGGGGTTAGGTGTGTCAGAGACAATGAGATTGGCACAGGATAAAGCAGAGTTTAGGGCTGTTGTACACAGGGTCGCTATGAGTTGCAAGTGACTCGACAGCACATAACAACAACAACATTTATGTTATGACTAGAACATAAACGAGATGGGTGGTAAATAATGGTAATCAATAAAACAGAAATTTGCAAAAGTATTTGACATCCAAGTTTTACAGATAAAACTCAAGAATTCCTATATTTTTATCCCTCCAGCAGAAACACAGAAGCTTAATGAAACAAAAATTCCATAATGGAACTACAGTGATATAACCTACTGCATGATTACTAGATCCTAAAAATAATGGTTGGCAAATCTTGTCCACCTACAAGCAAATGCTGCAATATGTGCAGACAGATGTTTACTATGTAGTAGGAGGAAGATGGTACTTCCTGATGCTTCCTTTTCTTTTGTAACTACTCCAATCTCCACAAAAAAATAGTACTGAAAAAATGTACTAATAAATTTTTTATTCCTGTTGTTAGGTGCCTTTCAGTTAACTATAACTCACAGTAACCCTATGAACAGACAGGAACTTTGCCCTATACTGTGCCTTCCTCACAACTTCTAACATGCCCAGATTCAATGTTATAGTCATTATGTCAGTTCCTTTCCTTAAAAGTCATCCTCTCTTTGTCTGGCCCTCTACCATTCTCAGCACAATGTCCACTTTAGGGGTACAAAGACTCAAAAACCAAACCAAACTCACTACTACTGGTCAGTTGTAGTGACCCTGCAGGTCAGGATAGACCTGCCCCACTTTCTAAAGTTGTAAATATCTACAGGAGCAGGTGGGTTACAAGTGATGATGTTTCATTAGGAGCCTGGTTCCAAACTCACTGCACCAGTAGAGCCCCTCTGGGTGTACACCATTAAATTTCAAAGTCAAGTTAACGGAGTATAGAAAAGCACCAAGTTCAACTTCAACTACAATCACATCATGGCTTCCCCAAGTTTTCCCTATGCAGCAATCTTCTTTTATAGACTAACTGGTTATTTATACCACCTGATAAACACTGAAAAACTAGTATTATCCTGCCCTAGTGGCTACAATGCCCAAAAGCTACAAGACACACAGCCATTCCATTAGGTTTCAGCCACTCTTTTAAAGGACCAAAGCAACAGTTATTAACTTTATGTGAAGACATAAAGTTTGCATGTTTGCTAATGTAGATAAAAACTGACTTCAACAATGAGAACAAACCATCAAAAAGTTTAAAGTGAATGTAGACTTACTATGCTTGGGACGTTTTTATTATAATAGTCATCATCACAAAACTAAACACTAGATTTTCACCTCTATATTATACACTGCATTGTTAAAAACTCTAAAGTTAGTTAACGAAAGAATTTAAATACATTTTTAAAAATACTAAAATAGTCTGATGTCATTTTAAAAGTAACATGGTCACATTAGCTGAATCTGAAAGTTTACACATTATCTGTTGTCTCATTTAAAAATTCACCAGTGCCACTCCTGACACCTCTACATTGAAAAGCATACACACACTGAGAGGGAGAAAGAAAGAGAGAGAGAATCTACAAATTTTTTTATTCATCAATGTTGCAAACAGGAAGCCTCAAAACCCTTGTTCATTTAACTGCACAACTAAACCAAGTTCTTCAAATTAAGGAGGCTCATTCCTAAGATTCATACAGGAGAGAATTCATTCCTGACAGCTTAGTGGTAAGGAGTTGCATTTTGAATCCACCAACCCAAAGACATGCAGGTTGAATCCACCCATTGCTGCACAAGAGAAAAATGAACATCCTCCTCTCACGCAATATGCTGCCTCTGAAAACCCACTGGAGGGTCAGTGAGGGTTGGTTCCATCTCAACAGTACTGTACTTAACAATATGAGTTAAATGTGTACTGTCCTGTGCTGATAAGAGCTTCTGGTCATTTCATTCTCTCTCAACCTCCCATTTCTTTAGTAAAACAAGCTCCAAATCTGAAAGACACAGCTTCCTATAGACAGATAAAATACTGCTCAGTATTATCCTCACGTTTGCTGCTTCGAGAGTAATAAGAGGTACAATCAACAGTTCCTCAGACAAAATCTGGGCAAGTGGTTCCCATAAAGACATACATACCATGGGTTAGCTGCACTGTCCTGTAAGGCCAAACTGCTTCAAAAGGCACCCAAAAAATTTAGCAGATTAATGTTTATGAAATAGAGGACATCAATAAGAAAAAAAAATTCCCTCATGTATTAGTCTAGTATTTTAGAACAAAAGAAAAAGAAGCCTTAGCAGTAATGCAGAAATGCAGAAAAATACAGCATAAGCCAGACTCATCACCAGAACAGGGACACAAGTCCCATGAGGACAGAGATGGGCTCTCTCCTAATTACCACTAGTTCCCCAACATTTAGCAAAGTACTATAACACTCGCTCATTGCTGTCAAGTTGGAACCAACTTTTAGCTGACCCCTTACCGGGTTTCCCAGGCTGTAAATCAAACTTCTCGTATGGAATCATTGGTGGATTTGAACTGCCGGACAGGCACAGGGTTAGCAGTGTGGCTCCCTCCAGACTAGGCCACCAGAACTCACTGACCTGAACACCCAACTCATTGCTTTCAAACAATAGCTGACTACCAGCTGACACACTTGCAGGTTGTCAGAGTCCGTACCTCACTGGAAGGAAAGTGCCCATCTTTCTCCTACAGATATTGGTGGATAAGAACTAGTCAAAAGGCATGGCTTTTGGATTGGCCACACAATGCCCAGCTCCCTATACCACCAGAGCTTCATCCCTAAAGTATGGATGTTGTTAGGCACTGTCTCAAAGCCGACTCACCAGAGGGTTTTCAGAGGCAGTAAATCGCATCCGACTGTCCATGAAGCATCTGTCTCCCATGAAGCAGCTAGTAGATTCAAACTGCTAGCCTTTGAAATGGCAGTGCAAATCCTTATCACCAGGCCACCAGAGCTCCCTATCTAAACACTTAGATGCTTAAGTTTCTGAGTGCATAAGAAAATGATAGCTAGTTATCAGTCACTGATCATTCACGAGGGTGAGACACTTGGCTAAGCTAGTTACACATGTCACAAGCAATGGGGAATGGCAAAGACTTAAGGATAGGGCCCTCTGACAATACTCTTAGGAAGAGACGAGTACTGAAACCTCTGAGTGATACTGACAGGGTTCCCTTGTTTTATCAGGTCACACAAGTTTTCTGGTTTTGACAGGCCTGCACACGTATTTCTCTATAATTCTCTGTGGAAAATATTTGAGTTTTCCCTCTCTGATACTTTTCCACCTTATACAGTTCTGACTTTCATGGGGTTTGCTCTATTTATCTTCTACCCAATTAACAGAGGAGGAAACTAAGGCTCAGAAACAGTGAGCTGCCCAAGTTGGCAAAGCTTACATGGGCTGAGCCAGAAGTCTGTGCTTTGCAAAGGCATAAGAAATGGCACTGGTGATATTTTTTTAAATGGACGTTGCAATAGAGAAGCATAAATTTTCAGAACAAACTGATGTGATCCAATTATTTTTCAATTTTGAAAGGACACGTATTGAACTATTTTTTTATTTTAAAAATATTCTGGTTTTTGATGCTAAAGTTTTAAACAAATAATCACATTATGTAAAATAGGTGTGAAAGGCCGATATCAGATTTTGTGAGGATGAATGTTAAGAATTAAAACAATTTTCCCAAGGAAATAATAAATCTACATTTATATTGAACCTTTGAATGATTTATTCTCCTTATTTAAGTACATTTTTACCTATATTAGCAAATTTAATGTCTTAAATCAGTCTTGGAGTTTTTTTAAAAAACAATGGCTTACAGTTTATTGACTTTTTCCAATCTTTTAACAGCTGCCCCTAGATACATAAATAGCAAAGTGAAAGTACTGTCTAGCCAAAAGCTGCATTTATCAGGCAATTCACAAATGACTGTGAATTTCCTAATCCACGTCAACACCTGCAGAGAGACAGCCTCTGGATCTACCTATTTTTCTTCAATCTCCCCTGTTCACAAGACCATGGGATTCTTGTAAGCGCTGGTGCCCTTTTAAAAAGTGATCCATCTTCATAAAGAACACCTTTCTAAACTCTAAGTGACAAGTTCAAAGCAAAGCATAAAAGGATCCTAACTCAGTGTCCATTTATTGCAATACACTTTTATTCCCTGGAAAATCTCCTTGGCCAAAGGAATTCAAAGAACTGTCCAAAGAAGGAAAAAGTGTTCCCCAGCACACACGATGCAAAAGCTTGTCCGCAGTCAGGGCGGGGGTCCTGTCACATCTTTGCCATTCTCTAAATGTCCCTCAACAGAGGCATTCAGGCACTACCCCAGATTACTGAGGCTCCTCCTGAAAAATGTGAAACAATTATTCAGAGGATCAATTTTTTTTTTTTAACTCCCGGCTGGGAACGGAAGTTAAGTTGAGATTCTCTTCCTTCCTCAAGCGAGCGCAGGGCTGAGCACCCCCACACACACTCACGCCCGACTTGGGATCGTCTCAGGGCCTCGTCACCTGTGGCGGAGGCAGCGCGAGCCCGGATTTGCAGGGAATTACCGCGCGGCGGGCGGGTGGGGGGCACCGGGCAGGAGGAACTAGCGCCCAAGTTTTCAATCAGGACCTCCCCAACTTGGCCGGCTCTCTCCTCCCGCCCGTCCTGCCTGCGCCCGGGCACCCACCCGCGCCCGCAGCCCCGCACCCCTGCCGCCCTCTGAGTCTGGGCGCGGGGGATCCGGGACGCGCGGCCGCTGTCCGACGCGGACCCCGGGACCGCAGAGCCACCCTGACCGCAGGCATGGGGACCGGGAAGGGGCAGCCGCCGCGGGGCGGAGGGGCGGGGTGAGCACTTCCTGACTCTCGCATTGTCCACGCACCGCCCGGGCCCCGCCACCGCGCCGGCCCCGTCGGGGAGGAAGTTGGCGCTGGCCCCGCGGGCCCCGGCTTAC